CTTCTTTTTTCTTTATTTGAAGTAGCTTATGAAGCTTCTCCATGCTCGTCACACACTCTACATTATCTTGAAGATATTTTGCTGTAAGCACAGTGAAATTGAATTTTTTATTACCAAATATTTTTCTTAAAACAAGAAAAACGTTTCTTGTTTTAATACTCAGAATAAAATCCTTCCTGTTTTTAGAGAAATGCAATTTGAATTTTATGAAACTCAAGGTGTGTGAAACACCTCTATATTAGTTAATTTTAATCTAATTTTCTCTCCACAAGTTCACAATAATCTCTGCACTTCTCATAAGTGAATAAATGTAAATAACTTTAAAATTAGAAATTTATACATTTTGTTTTTGCAAAAAGGTATATTAAAGTAAAGTAGTTTTATCTTTACCTTACTATTTTATAATTTTATGATATAAATAGTTTATTTGCCGACTTAACAGTTTTATTTACGGCTACGGCTATACAAAGCGCTCCAATATAATGGCAGGAGGTTATCAAGAATAATTGTTAGTCAGGAAACTTAGCTATTCTTGTGCTAACCCCTTTTAAATAGTCAGGGATTGAAGTGGGTGAACTTTATGAGATCAAAAGCATCTAACAAATTTCTAATTGCTGTGTATTGAGCCTCAACGCTTTTGTGTTTAAAAACCACATTTTTTAAATTTTATAACGAATTTGTACGTTTTTAAAATACTCACAGTTAACAAAAATAAAAGTAACAAAAATGCGCACAATCAGTATAGATAAAACACCTTCCATTATTTAAAATGGCGTTATTATACAGTTAATGATTTGCAAATTTCTATTCACGCCGATTGTTTGAAAATACCCTTAAAAACTCAAAAAATGTAAAAATTTTAAACTTTAAAAGAGTGGCGCGAGTATAAATAGTCATCCAAAATAAAAAATAAAAAAAATTTCATTAAGAAAACAATACCTTGGAAATATTTTATGACACTCCACGTATTAAAATTTGTTCATGAGGGCCAAAATATGACATATATATATATATATATATATATATATATATATATATATATATATATATATATATATATATATATATATATATATATATATATGTCATATTTTGGCCTTAAAATATGACATATATATATATATATATATATATATATATATATATATATATATATATATATATATATATAAAGATTATATATGTATATATAATTTTTATAAATCTCTAAAACTTTCAAGAGTTTTTTGAAGTCTTCTAGAACTGTATGGAAATTAGCAAGATTTAGACTATATTAATTGGGTGCCGTGAATTTTCATTTTTTTAAGAATTCGTTTAGCCTGGTTGTGCAAAAGTTGTCTGATCATTTCTTAAATAATTGGGAAAAATATCAATGCTTTTGGAAAATATCTTTAGGTGTCCCAAGACCTTTGAATATTTAATGAGTCCTAACATAAAAAAAAAAAAATTTTTCAAATGTCATGTTAGATTTAAAATGAAGCAAAACTATATAAAAATTTCAAAAAAAATTATCATTTTACAAAATAATAATTACTTTAAATTTTACTGCATCAAAAATGAGATATTTTTACTAAAAATGAAAAATGGGCATTTTGCAAATTTTTTTCCTAATAATTTTTTTTTAACTTGTTTTAAAATGATTTTAAAAGTTTTTATTAAATTATTTAAAAACTTTGGCATATAAAATTCGCCGAATGGTCACACACGAGCAGTGAACACCTGAGGGAAGGAATGAAGTACATTAGAATAAAGGAGAATTATTTATTAGACAAAGCATATTTGGACAGTTGTCAAGACAAAAATAAAGATTAATAGAGGAATATTTAAAAATAAATAAGACAGGCTATACAATTAAAACAGTACTCAACAATAATAACAATAAAAAAAATTAAAAAAATTTAAAATAAATAATAAAAAATATATATATATATATATAAAAATAAAAAAAATAAAAAAATAAAAAAAATTGTTTTATAAATACCAATATGAACTAAAATATACAAGAAATACATAACCAGTCAAAAATTTGTAAAACAAAAAACCATTCAACAAATTAAAAATATGCTAACAACAATGAAAGGACTAATAATGGAAAAAAAAACATTAATGCTAATGTGTAAACATAATTAGTGTAGTGATCAAGTAATAAACATCTCCTCAGAGTCGCATCTATTATTACTGGCATTCCGATGAGGATCAGCATTTATAACTAGTTTATCCCGTCAGACAAACGTCATCGCCACTTATGCTTTACCCCTCGACTTACGCCTATTTCATACTGCAGTAAAAAAGGACTCACTACAAATAGCCAAAACCCAACCAACCCCAAATTTGTAAAGCACCAATATTTCTTTTGATGATATGATATAAAAAGTATAGATTTACTGAACAAACAAAAATAAAAATAACTAAATAAAACACTTACCGTACCACCAAAAGAAAACATGAAAACAAAATAAATTAAAATTCTAATAGAAACATAAAAATATTAATCAATTTATTTTAAGAAATAAAACCAAATAGGTATTATTAGCATAAACAAGCCCAAGATAATCAGAAAGCAGTATACCTCATTAAAATTTTTTTTTTAATAAACAAAACAATATCCTTAAATAAACTCTAACGCTGTCATAGATACCTCATTCGAAATATGATAACCAATCAAAAGTGTAGAAAAATGAGTAACCCGCGAAACCCAAAATCATAACAATAATAGAATAATATATGATAGCGAAAAAGAACGTTGCACAAAAACCTTAAAAATGTAAGCGACATATATGTAAACATTAAATGAAGGATATAAAAATATTCTCTGAATAATAATAAAGATGAAAATTGTGCATGTGAAAATTAAAACAAAGCTGAGTTATGAATGCAAGATAATATAACATGAAAGTTTCTGTAAACATTAATAATATGAAAATCAGGAGATAAGTAATATATTAATAAATACAGCAATAAAACTAACTAAATATTGTAATAAAACCAGATAATTTTAAGCCAAATGAGTGGTTAAAAAATTAGTTGTGGGTAATATAACAATGATATAATATAATCGTGATATAAAAACGATGTAGAAAGCGGGAAAAAAATTGTTAAGAAATGAAGTTTTCTCTACAGTCCGAACTAAAAGAAACTTTGAGACCATATCTAAATTGAAACTTCCGAAAAATAAAGTTTTCTCTACTGTCCGAATTAAATGTAACTTTGAGACCATAACAAAATAACAAGGAAAATATTTTTAAAATTTTTATTAAATTAAAAAAAGAATAATCATTTTAAATTTCTCCTCGTTTAAGTTCCAACATGAAATTTAAAAACTTTTATTTATAATATTAGGGACCCATTAAATTTTCAAAGGTCTTGGGGCACCTCAAGATAATTTCCAAAAGCATTAATATTTTTCCATAGTATTTCTGAAATTATTCAAATAATATTAAATACAGAGTACAATAGCACTTATTTTTATTAACCTTTCAGAAAAACATTCAAATATTATCTTCAATCAGAATGTCCTACAGGAAAAAAAAAAGGAAAAAAAAAAAAGGGAGGACATTCTGATTCTCTTCTTTTCCTATCAGGAAAGGGCTTCCACTACTAAAAGAAATAAGACAACTTGAATGAAGAATCTCTATGATTTTGAACAGTCCACAAGTACCAACAAAAACTATATCAAACCCAAAATGGCTATCAAATTAGTAAAATCTTCAATTTATCAACCAGCAAAGCAGCAATCATTTGTTCACAGTTATCTCAGGATGGCATTGACATTCAGATGCCTCAACAGACTGGTATATTCATATCAGCTATTAGAGAAGCTACTAAACTTACAGAAGAAATAAAGAAAACACTTGTCACTGCAATTTGATAGAAAATATATTAATCTAAAGAATATTAAGTGTTAATGACGAAGAATAAAACAAATATAATAACAAAGAATAAAAGAGTTAAGAATATTGTTAAGAATAAAAAAGAGATCTTAAGTTACAAGCAGATATTTGATTTTTTAAGTGAATACAGCTATTCTCTATAAATGGAAAGAGTATAAAGATGATTGTAATAGAGACTACAAATGTAAACACTGGAAAAAGCAATGGGAGTATCAACCAGTTACAAAGCCCTTTTACTGAAAAAATAAACTGGAGGAACCACAGTTAATTAGTTCTCAACATCATTTTCTTGACTGAGTTCTTTGCATAGTAATGAATGAAGTACTTAGAGGAAACAACATATCACCCAATATCAAATATCTGTTTATCCCGGAACTTGTAAAGAACTACCAACAGTTCAGGAAGAATTTCAAGGATGGTAAAGAAGTGATTATTGAAACAGTAAGATGGGGTGATGAAATGAAATTTTTATTTTATTTAAATTGGGTATGCTCATTTTTGAAGAATCTGAAATATTTCCTGAAGTGAACTTTCAAAATATATGAAAATTAAATCATGCAAGATGGAATTTCCGAGCAATACAAGCTCATTTTGGCATGACTTACTACTCGACATTTGTATATGCATCACTTACATATGGGTGGACCATTGATTATGGACCAAATGTACAATGCAAATATACAGATGATTATCTAAAGCTATGTAGCAGCTTGAATGGATACAAAAAAGCATTAAACTCAGTGAAAAGACAAAATAAATTTAAGCTTTAGTTAAGCTGAATACTACACAACAATATACAGTAGTTTTTTGTACTTGTAGAATTGTCATTTAAGTTTGTAATTTCATATTTACTTGTAATTTAGCGTGTTGTGATGTAACAATAAACTGTTAAATGCTTAAAAACTACGTAATATCTCTCCAATTAAAAAAATATGGTAAATTCAAAAACAAAACAAAAAAAAAATGATTATATGATTTATGAAATATTTATATATATAATATAAATAATATATATAACATAAATTATAACACAACTTTTTTAATTTATTAACTTACTCAAGTTAGAAAATTATAATAAATAAAACTACTTGATAATTATATCATAACTACCTGATACAGGTGCACTGGTTTTAAGACCAGCTTGATTTGCGTGGGTACTGGAAATTTCATAGCCTGCATGAATGACTGCAGATCGAAATTGAGCATGTGATGGTGTTGTAGAATGCAACACATTACAAAGATGATCAATTACAAGATACAATGGGTGATCTGGCAACTCTTCCAAAACTACAGATAGTGTACCTAATGAAGTTTAATTAAAAATTATAAATGCACAATCAGTGCTACACATAAAAACACATACATTTTTATACATTTAAAATGTATCAACTTAAATCAAAAATCTTATTATGAACTATTTACCAGTTCAGTTTTCTACACCACAGTGCTAATATGTTCTACACCACAGTGCTAATATGTTCTACACCACAGTGCTAATATATTCTATAATTATGTACATTCTATAATTATATATATTCTATAATTATAATATTATATATTCTTTCAAAACTACTGAAATACTAACTCTAAATTTTGCTTTTTTTGTGCTGCCCCTCTACCTTATTTAGCAGGTTAGACAACCTGAAACTATTATTGGACATCAGATGAACAGAAAAAGGTGAAAACTCTGATACTCCATTTGTTAAAGTGACCAAATCTCATATTTTATTTTATACTACTATAGCAGGCTTGGACAGGAATGGCGTGCGATCGCACTCTTTAACTGACCACGCTAATATTGCTTTTTCTTTACAATTTGACCACGACAATTTTGATGTTTTAACAATTTAAATACAATAAAAGAAAGTGTTACGTTATGAATAACTTTTAATCGTTAATCTTTGCTAAAGTTTTCATTTTACGTGAGGCTTTTAAATAAAACCATAAAATTAATTATAATGATTGTTTACATAAACGCATGCTTTAATTAATAAAAAATGTTATACAAAAAATTTAATATTAACAAAAAATATTAATAAAAATCTTTTAAAAAAAATATATATTTTTTGAAAGTTTTTTTTTTTAATTACGATAGGAATGAATGAGTTTAAATTTTTTATAATAACTTTTAAATTCGTTACGTGAAGTGCTTATTAATAAAGTTGTAATGCTCAAATTAAATTGCTTGTTGGCGGTTTATTTTATTTGAATCACAGGCGCATTTTGTTATTTATTTTTTTCCCCTATAAAAAGTTTAAACCTTTTTTTTAACTAAACTTACTAATTAAAGCTTGAAATTATTAAAAATTACATACAGCATTATATACAACACTTTTTAATAAATTTGATAAAATTTGCCAATTTATTATACAATCATTAGAAGTAATTTATTACTTAATTTAAAAGCGTTTTGCATAACATTAATAAAACGTTAAAAAAAAAAGTTTTAATAACATTTATTTTAATTAAATACGTTACAAAATGTTTTGCTTCGAGTTCAATTTTTATTTTATTTTAGTGCTTATATAATTTCTTTTTCGTAATAAATTTTTTTCTTTTCTTTTTTTGTTAGGATTTTTTTTTTCGATATATATTTTTTTAAACTTTTTTTTCTAGTTTAAGTAAAGCTTAGCGTTTCTACATTATGCGCATTTCTGAAATGTTTAAATCATCAAAACATATAAACAATCGTGGTCAAGTTGTCAAAAAATAAAACCGTTTGCGTGGTCAACAATAGCACTTGATCGCACGCCATTCCTGTCCAAGCCTGCTATAGATGAGCAGATGAACAAGAAAATCTTAGGCTATATATCATTTATTCATATATTTGATAGATATGGAAGTAATGGTTTCGATTGGCTGCTGCAATTGCCAATCGAAACCATTAATTCCATATCTATCAGCAAAACGATTCTCCAGAAAACAGACGTCTCTTTATTACTGCTAGGAACCATTGTAAAAAGGTTTTGTCTAACGCCAAAACCCGCTATTCTCAGATCATGAAATCTCGTATTTCATCACAAAAGTTAGGCTCTCGTGACTTCTGGAGAATCTTTAATAGTATCAATAATAAGGCCCGGACAACATACCTGTTATAGTCTTGCAGAAGTGTTCTCCTGAGCTGTCGTCTATCTTTTCAAAACTATTCAACAAGTGCTTATCAGAGTCTTGTTTTCCAGCCTGCTGGAAAGCAGCATCTGTTATCCCTATTTTCAAAAATTCTGGAGAGCGATCTGACTCATCTAACTACCGTCCCATTAGTCTTCTTCCTATCATAAGCAAGGTTTTTGAATCTTTAATTAACGAACACTTAATCTCTTATCTTGAATCTCATAACCTACTTTCTGATCATCAATATGGATTTGGATCTTCTCGTTCTACAGCTGATTTGCTATCAGTAATACCCGATAGGTTTTATTGCGCATTAGATAAAGGTGGAGAGGTTAAGGCCATTGCTCTTGACATTTCTAAAGCGTTTGATAAAGTTTGGCATGCTGGTCTTCTCCATAAGCTTTCTTCTTATGGTGTATCTGGAAACATCTTTAAGATTATTGAATCCTTCTTTTCCAATCGTAGTATAAAAGTTGTCCTTGATGGACAGAACTCTTCTTCTTATTCTGTAACCTCAGGGGTTCCCCAAGGTTCAATCCTTGGCCCTATACTCTTTTTAATTTACATTAACGATCTTCCAGATATTCTCACATCTAAGGTGGCATTGTTCGCTGATGATACTACCATTTATTCTTGTCACGATAAGAAGCCAACTCCCTCTGATTGCTTGCAGGGGGCATCTGAGCTCGAAAAGGATCTCACTTCTGCTACAGCATGGGGCTCGCAGTGGCTGGTGAACTTTAATTCAGATAAAACTCAATTTTTTTCGGCCAATCGTTATCGCAATAATTTAGACCTTCCTATATTTATGAACGGTAATGTACTCGATGAGTCTCCGACCCTTCATCTTCTAGGATTAACTCTTACTTCTGATCTTTCTTGGAAACCTTATATCAAATCTGTTGCAAAATTAGCATCTGCTAAAGTTGTGGATCTTCTAATGATGCCCTTTCTCTTTTAGACAAGGTGCAAAAACGCATTGTAAACATAGTTGGACCTGCTCTTGCAGCCAACCTTCAACTTCTGTCACATTGTCGTAATGTTGCTTCTCTTTCTCTTTTCTACAAATACTATAATGGGCACTGCTCTAAAGAGCTAGCGTCTCTTGTGCCATCTACTAAAATTTATTCTCGTGTTACTCGTCATTCAATTAAGTCTCATTCTTTTTCTGTTACTGTTCCTAAGTGCTCTAAAAACTCTTATTTGTCTAGTTTTTTTCCTCGAACATCAGTTCTTTGGAATTCGCTTCCTTCATCTTGCTTTCCTGATTCATATAATTTGCAATATTTTAAGTTGTCTGTCAATCGTTATCTTCCAGTAACTTCCAACACTAATTAGTGGTTGCTTGCAACCTTGTTGGAAGCAAAGATAATTAAAAAAAAAAAAAAAAAAATTTATACTCTTTTATTTTAAAATAATTGATAAACTTACTTTTAATTTAATCAAGAAGATTATCTAAAAGAAGATCTACCCCCTTTTTGCTACTTTGTATGCAGTGTATAGCAGTATATAGCAGTAACTATTTCTTGAAATGAAATCATTAACTAGTCTGTTTTGTTTTGTTTCAGTGCAATAAAAGACAAAAAACAAAAGAAAAACTTTTTTTTTGTTTTGGAAACATTCTTATAATTTTTATAAGAATTTCTATATTATTTCATGCTTTATCTCACAACTCTTACATTTCTCTATTTCTGCTCTTTAGTTGGAAACATGTTGAAAAAAATGCATAAGAAAAACCAAAAAAGAATTTTTTTTTCACACCAATCAATTAAATCAAGTACTTAGGGAATGTCTACTAAGAATAATACTAAATATTTAACTTTTTGTGAAACATTTCAAGTGATTTACAGTTTGATTCGCGATTTTTGGTGTATCTATAAAATAAACTTCATTGACTTTCAAAGACAAACTATTCTTTGTTTTGTAAAAAACTCTAAAAAAAATTTTTTCAACTTTTTCACCTTCTTATTTTGACTTAACTCTAATTTTTATCAATCTTATTTTTATCAATCTAATAATTCCAAAATAAAGACCTTGACAAACAAGACTGGTACATGGACATAAATATTGTAATACACATATGTAAACAAGACTGGTGCGTGGAAATATGTAAATAACACACCTTTGAAGGATGTTTTTTTTTTTTTTTTTTTTTTTTTTTTAAAAACCACTATGCAATAGCATTTAACTGGGAAAATTCTATCAAAATTGAAAGTGAGGTGCAAAACTTAACTAAGTTTAAGTTTTCTTAATGTCATGTTTTGCAGTTGTCTGTCAATTAATGTGTTTTCTATCATATTGTAGCAAACTAAAACTTGCTTTAATCAAAACTAGCAAACCAAAACCCTAACCCTAATAAATAAACAATTCTTACCTCGAATTCTTTGTTGTGTACTGTAACAATCTTTTTCCTTTTCTATATCAACCAACAAAGATGTCACAAAGGTTTCAGAATGAATGGATTTGGACCAAATTGGTCCTCCTATTTTGAAAACATGATTACATTCATCACAGAGCTGAGAAACCACAGGACCTGTTGCTGGATTGTACTTTTTACTATTTCCAATTTCAACACTTTTTCCAACTAAATAGTTATATAAATAATTAAAATTATTTAAATTATACTTTAATGATTATTACATGAACAAATTTAGTTTAATAGTTAAAGATTATTATAAATTTAAATAAAAATTTTTTTTTAAAACATTTTAAATCTGTATGTATTTATGTATGTATGTATGTATGTATGTATGTATGTATGTATGTATGTATGTATGTATGTATGTATGCATGTATGTATAAATGTATGTATATATGTATGTATGTATGTAAGTATGTATGTAAGTATGTATGTGTATATATACATATATATATATATATATATATATATATATATATATATATATATATATATATATATATATATATATATATATATATATATATATATATAATGTGGTAGTGGTGTAGTGGTAAGAGCGCTCGCTTTGTAAGCAAGAGGTTCGGAGTTCGACTCCCACCACATCCCTGGAAGTACCGCACTCAACTTAATTTCTTCGCACAGCGGCCTTGCTTGTCAAGGTTCGTGTTTTGGAGTTAAAGTGTTAAGAGAGGGTTGTACCACGATTTACAAAAAAAAAAAAAAAAAGAGTAGCCTCCTTGACTGTAGTGGCTTCCTCGGGCCTTGGGGAGGTGAATAATTAAAATAAATAAATAAATATACACATATTTATATTTTCATTGATAAATATATATATATATATATATATATATATATATATATATATATATATATATATATATATATATATTTTTTTTTTGACGTCATTAAATTCTTTTTATTTGCTTTTCATATTTATCGACATTAACTGCACCAATTTACTTAATTACCGCAAAACTACTTTAAATCGTTTATGTAGAAATGTTATTATTTAAAAATGTTTTGGAATGTTTCGTTTTTTAAAATGTAAAAACATTTGTTTATTTTCTCGACCTTTGTCACGTTTTGTCTATACTAAATGAATAAAAAACATTATAACTTAAGTTTAAAATAGATTATAAAATATTTGATTTTTTTTTTCTTAAATATGTAATTTAAAGTTTTTCAAATAATTATTTTTTCTTTTTAAAAAGTCAGCGAGTAATAAACTGGAAATTTTAATATTGTACGATTAAAAACTGTGCAATAGCTAATATTTTTCAAGCGATTTTATATAATATTTATTTATTTTTATTTATTTTCATAAAGCGGTTGATAAGCACAATCACTCGTATTAATAAAAAACTTAAACGAACGTTTTGAATAGATTTTTAATGTTAACAAGGAATTTTATTTCTATTAAAATAAAATAAAATGTTAGAATAAAAATCTTATAGGTATAAAAGAAATATTTCAGCGAAAAAATTATTCTTAAAAATTATTCGAAAAACTATTGACGTTCTATTTTTCAGCAGCTGTTCTTGAGCACGCTTCGATGAGTTTCGGTAACTTTTAACATAAAAGCGATCGTTATTATTTAAGTAATTTTTTTGAGTTACTTTTTACAAAAATTTTAATAACTGTACTTTTTTATTGAATCAAGTAGAATACGTTTTGATATTAATCTTTTTTTTTTTTAATTTGCCCTCACCAATTTTTAAAATGTTTCCTCGAAATCACTCTTAAATACTTTAAATACGTCTAACAGTTAATAAATATTTTTAAATCTATGGAATAATTTTAAAACCTATCAAACCCCTGTAAAATAATTATTTAAGTTTAAAATCTAAAACTAAAAGAAAGTATTTTTGTTCAATTTTATCGACAACGTTGCTATTGCTGAATAATTTTATTAAAATGTTAGCTTAAAAGATTTAAACTTTTTTTTTAATTTTTGAATTTTTTCTACTTGTAAATAATGAGCATATTTAATTTTTTTAAATTCAAACTTTTATTTCAACTGCGTGCGATTTTTAAAAATGTTAAAATAATCGTAAATTACTTCATTAAAATTCCGCTCAAAAATATCTTTAAATATACTCAAACAAAAAATATTTTGCTCAACGCAAATAGCCCTAGCTACACGCAAAATCGCCCTTGGACGACGTAAAATTCACATCGCCCGACGCTTTATCGCAAGGCCTGATATATATATATATATATATATATCAGAAGCGTACACTTGGACTTTTGGTTAGAAAGGTGATTGAAAATAACCAGTTTGTTAATGTTAGTCGCTCGCTGCATTTTGAGTTACACATCACTATTTTTTATAAAAATGTTTGCATTCTCGCATATTTAATCTTTCTTTAGCTAAGTGTAGACTAGAAATAATTTGCATAAATAAAAGTAATATTTTTCATTTTTCTACTTTCAGATAAAGCATATATGCCAATATAAATGCCATTAGTTTTTCACTTAAATTGAGCAATTATTTTATAAAAAAAATAACTGCTCTTTTTTACAACAACATAGTATTGACAAATATAAAAAACAATTTATAACTACTTTAAAATCCTTCGCTTTTAAAGTTTTGTAATTATAAAGATCTTTGATATTATTGAACTATTGATATTTTTATAGTATTTTAAAGCTGTAGCTGAAATTTAATTTTCAAGAGAAATTTAATTTTCATTAATTAAAAATCATTTAAATTAATATAAAAATGATAAATCCTAAATTTGGTATTTGATAAAAATTTCCTTATAATTTATTTCTTAAAACAATCTTACACTTTTTTTTTCATTACTATTCATTTATGTATTTTGATTTTTTACATATTTAATAAAATATTTTTAATAAAGATTGTAAACAATTTATAGATAGATTTTATCTGCTACCAGTAAGATATTTCTAAAATTATTTTAGACTTTATTAATTACCGATAAGACATTTCTAAATGTACTTATTTGTATTACATCAAAAGAACTTTAAACGATAATAATAAGAAACAAAACGAAAAGATTTCTCTTTAACAAAAATACTTCTTTTTTTAAGAAATTTTTTTTGTTTTTGCATATTATAATCTATTATATTCTATGATGGAGAGACTTATGTTTTTACGTAATGAACTAGTAAGCAGAAGATAAGAAAAAAATGTTTTACATAATTAGTTAGCAGAAGATAAGAAAAAATATTTTACGTAATTAGTTAGCAGAAGCTAAGAAAAAAATTTTACTAAAAATTGCTAAATTATTTTACATTCCTTTGAAAATAAATTTTACATTTAACGTTTATTAAATTCCTATTTTGAAGATATTTTACATTACATTCCTCCAAAAATAAATTTAAACTTTTATTTAAAATCTTTTAATTAAAAAGTATTTTTATAAAATATTTTGTTTCTTTAAAAAATTCACAGTTTTCTACAACCTATTATTGAATAAACATCACAAATGATATTTAAAGGTAATTTAAGTACTCTTAAATAAAAAAGTTTTCGCTTAACATAAAACTACTGAATGCGTACGTAAAATGCAAGCTTGTAACGATTCTTAAAATGGCCAAAAAAAATATTTTCAAACTAATTACTTTTATTACTTTATATCTAAATAAAATTTGTAAAAAAATAAAATAGTATTTTTTTTTAAACGATAAAACTAATAGTAAATAAATAGTATTTTTTTAAATACTTTAAAATGCTTGCACAATTTTCTTGTTATAATTAATAGAAAGTTTTTAATAGAATTAAAACAAACTTTGTTTTCTACACTTTGACTTTCAAAATTTATTATTATACAATATTATTATTAATAGTTACTTTTTTTTTATAGAATTCTTAAATCACATTAAAAAAAACTAGAAAAAGAAAACAGAACTGCAGGTAAAAATCAATAGTCACTCTTATGATTTATCACATTGCTTGACCTTTTGGGCAACTTTATTGTTATGAAAGGAATATTTTTATTTGCCCTTCATATACACATAACTCTTGCTCATGTTCTCATCTTTCCCTTAAATGTAACATTTAAAGAAAAGTCACAAGTCACATAATTGGTCTCTTAACAAAAACCAATCATTCTGTGTTTGTGCATCTGTTAAATTTCTTGAACTACAATTACTCCAGGATCAACATCTAAAAATACAGGGAGAATCAAGTTGGAAAGAGTAAAGACACCACCACCTAGAACAATAAAAATATGTAAAAGGCGTAGGGTTGTCATCAGAAGAAAATCACCCTACCCCCGCACTCTCACAATGAGAAGAAAAAATTAAACAGAAGAACATGACAAAGTTAGGGCAAACCTTTTATTCTTGATTTAAAATTTCAAACTTGAAATTTAGAAATTTATATAAAACATTTGAAATATAAAAACTGAAAGCATGAATGTAAATTTCTTTAATATTAAGATAGATGAGGAACTGAATTTCAATGCTCAAAAGTGATAAAAGAAAATTTGAGGAGGGAACTAAAATCAAGGTTCAAGCCAAGGTAAAGCAATTGCAGTTGAAAAATTAAAAAGCTTTTCAAAAGCACTTTTTCCGATTGATAAAACCCAAATTCAAAAATAAATAAATTTAAAAACATTTTTGGATTTAGTAATATACATAGAGCCAAAGTTCTTAGCATAATCAGAAGCTGGAAGGAAAGAGACTTATTTCAAAGGTAGACTTATTTCAAAGGTAGAAAGGAAAGAGACTTATTTCAAATGTAGGATTAAAATTAATTGAAGAAGATTTTTAAAAGATTATTTTGATGTTAAGGAAATAATTTTTTAAAAAAATATTTCTTTAACATCAAAACTAATATCATATGAGAGCATAAATACCAAGTCAGTAACTTGAGATTTAATAGTACCAAAATTAATAACTAAATGAAGCTGATATTGATAAATATATTAGAAAATGATATTAGCCTTTACTCCGATTGGAAAATATGATATTAGCCTTTATTCCTATTTAAATACTCAAGCTTTCAGCTGCATCTTATATTAATTGGGTTAATCTTCCACTAGTTGATCTGCCTGATGACATAAAAGTTATTAAAATCCTTGCTCAAATGGAACTTTATCTACTTAAATACAAGCAGATGATAATCTTGAAAAATATTTGCAATCTATGCATGTCACTTTATTGGCAAACCAGTGAAATCAAATTTTAGGTTTTCAAAGGCCTAAGCTGCATGGTGGTCAATTTAAAGGTGGAGAATGTTTGAAAATGCTAAAAAATATTCATGTGTTAGAAAAATAAATAAAATCTTCCAAACTGGAAAAATATAAAAATATCATATCTATAGTAAATTCCTTCAAGTGTTTAAAATCTATAAAAGATGCATATCTTGTCTCTAGTTTGTTACCTGAATATGAGTCAACCATAAACGATTACAAAGATGCTTATGTTAAACATGGTCAACAAATATCACCAAAAATACATGCTCTTATCAAGCATACATGTGAATTTCTTTCACTTATGGATTCCAATCCAAATAAAATAATAAGTTTTATGGTTCAAACCATAAAACTTATCGGCCTCTGAATCTGTTCATTATGATTTTAAACAGTTTTATGATAAAAAGTTTCTAGCAGCCTTAAAGACTATTTGCAAAGTCTGCTTAAAGCTATTGTCACGTACAACTCCTGACATTGTTAAGATAACTTACCTCCGGAAAAGTATTTATTATCACTAAGGGGCCATCCATAAAGTACGTACGCAGGTATAGGGGGAGGGGGTTCCCAAAAGTGTACGAATGCATAAAAGTGGGGGCGGGGGGCGGGAGAGGGTGTTAAAGACAGTGAGTAGGTACGTGGTTGACTATATCTCATAAACTTGATTTTTTTTAATGCTAACTAAAACTTTATATAACTAAAATGTAAAGAACAAAAAAAAAAATGATTACATAACAAACTACTACGCTTTAATAAAGCACTGTTATTGCATAGAAAAATAACAATAAAAAAAGAGTGCAACTTGATATGCAATATTTTTTATTGGATTAAAATAACTGTCTGGTTTTTTAAATAAAAAGTTTGTCACTTGCTTTTTATCATAAATTTAAAACATTGGAAATTATTGTTCATATCTCCAAACAATACAACTACCTTTAGCATGCCACAATGCATTCTCAAAATTCTTAAAACTTTTTTTAATATTATTAGTTAGATAATTAAATGAAGAAAATAAATTATATTTACAATTAATGATTTTGAGTTGTTGACAAAAATTTCTATAAAATTCTCCACTGTTTCCGATAACATATAAAATATTTTATAAACCCACTCAAACATTTGTTTTACAATTTGCTTTTAGAATTTGGAATTAAAATTTAAAAAATTATTTAAAAATATAACTACTTACCTGGCTGGAGATGAAATGTTTCACAACCAGAACAATGGAATACATAAGATCGCTTACTCGCAGAGCGCTTAACTTCAGATGGACTTGAGAATACACGAACAAAGATTCTTAAGTAGAAATCTACACTTAAAGACAGTAAAGGCTCAATGTATCGCTTATAACGATTAGCATGTGAGTCTATGCATGATAGTACAATTCGTAATGCCTATACAAAGATATTTAATACTTATAATAAGTTAAAAAAAGTTAAAAATGAAATTACTAAAATTTAATTAAATTTATTATCAACTATTAAGTAAAACTAACCATTTCATGACAATATTTTGACTTTAATGGCATGCAACCATATTTTGCATATGCCGCTTCACCATGATTTCCACATAAACCAGCCATATCTGTACAAGTAACACAGAGCAGTCCACCTTCGTCTATAGCTTGCACAGCACCATCAAGAAATTGACTAGGGGAACCAAAAGGATCAAGATCAATAACTTGGAATCGACTTGATAATGGAAATCTGTGTTGGTACATCAATAAGCTGGACAATAAATTGTTAACATTACTTCAAGTTGTATGATTGGAAACAAACAAACAAAACAAAAACAAGAAAGAGAGATGGGTATAACAATTGTCATACAGTGACATACAAAATAGACAAACCAAAACAATTTGTGGATGTTTTTAATCCGATTAGATTAATTCGATTAGATAATTCCAAAAAATAATTAAATACATTTAATATAATATTAGGGTTCAAAATAGGCGCTGGACATTAAACATGTCCGGCAATTGTCTGGTAAAAAACGAATCAATCAGTCATTTTGAAAAACCCATATTTTGTGTGCATTTTTTTAATAATTATTTTGGTTGTTCCAAAACTACTAATAAAAAACATCATTTTTTTGAGCTAATTCATCTTTTAAAAGACGACTAAGCATTATTTTTTGAATTAAGCAGCATGGTCTTTATCATTAATATCAAAATGTTGCAATTGGTTATTATTTTAAATTTTTATTTCAGTATTTATATTATTTTTTTCCAATGGTTTTTATAAATTCCAAACTAATATTGTAACTTTTAAAACCCCTTTTAAATTTATTTTAAAAATTCGATGTGTTTAAATAAATTGTTTACAAAAGTAATCATACATAGAAAAGTTTGTCTTTACAACTTTTGCAAGTTGCAAAGACAAAATATTTCAAGCATAGTCAGGAATGTCATTCGATCGCATTTCTTTAGGTTTTATTGCACATGTCCACCTAACTTGTGTATTTATTAGACAAATTGTCCGGTAATTTCAGATGTACAATATCTAAAATTTCATTGATGTCTAATAACATCTGTGAAAAAAATAAATAATAAAAAATAAATTAATATTACAGATGTAGTTACATCTTTTAAATTATCAAAGTGAAATAACATCTAATAACATCTAATAACATCTGTGCAACTACATCTGTAGATTTTAAGATGTAGTTACATCTTTTCAATTATCAAACAAAATAATATTCATAAATAGTCAATGGATAGATTACAACTTAATCAAATGGACCATTATAGCGTTTATATTCCCGCAGTTTTCACCTAAAATATTGACCATTATTAATATTTTAGGGGGAAATGTGGGAATATTATTTATCTTTACAATTAACTGCTAAATAGTAATTTTTAAATTTTACGTTAGAGATTGTTCATAAAGTACATACGCTCATATGGGGGAGATGGGGTCTGCAAATTATGTATATGAGATAGGAAGCAGGAGTCAACTTTAAAAGTAAGGAGACATTATATAAGTATTAACGCATCATTTTAACCAGATGTTGTTACATATAGGAATTTTTTCAGTTTTAACTACATCCAGAAAAAAATATTAACTAATAATGTATTATTTTAACCAGATGTTGTAATATATAGAAATATTTTCAGATGTAACTACATCTAGAAAAAATTCTTCCAGATGTTATTAAACTTCTAGAAAAATTAACAGATGTAGTTACATCTTCCTAAAGATGTTATTTGGGGTTGTTGAATTTTCAGATAATATTGGGCAGATATTGTTAGAGTAAAAAAAAACACAGATGATCTTGGACAAAGATAATATGTACAGATAATATTAGATACTTCACAGATGCTTTCGAACAGATGTTGTTGAACAGATTTGTTGAACAGATGTTGTTGGACAGATGTTGTTGGACAGATGTTGTTGGACAGATGTTGTTGAACAGATGTTGTTGAACAGATGTTGTTAGACAGGTGTTGTTGGACAGATGTTGTTGAACAGATGTTGTTGGACAGATGTTGTTGAACAGATGTTGTTGGACAGATGTTGTTGAACAGATGTTGCTGGACAGATGTTGTTGGACAAATGTTGTTGGACAAATGTTGTTGAACAGATGTTGTTGAACAGATGTTGTCGGACAGATGTAGTAATCTTTTCTCTGCTAAGCTTTTGTACTGATATTTGGTACCAGCTATTATTTTTTTGGCTTAAAATTGTTGCCAAAATAAATAGTCATAAAATTTCTATAAATTTTGCACTTTGTAGTACATTAATTATAATTTTTAAAGTTTGCACCAACTTTGCAACTAGCTCTGGTCTCCCCTAAACATACTTAAATATTCTAATCCTTGTTAAGTAAATTTCAATGTGGTTTATATAACAATAATGATAAGGTATGTCTATAACTACTGGTGTCAAAAATTGCACAGTAAATAACAGTAGGAATTGAACAGTAACAGCTTTTATCAACTGGTGTCAGCAGTTGCACTGTGCAATACCTCTATATTCAATACCTCAGAAATTTTCACTTGATGTCATTTGTTGCTCTTTAAAAATATCTGAAAGGGTTTAACAGAAGACTTAGATAAAAAGTTTTTTGGTTCAAGTTTAAATGGCATAAACTTCAATATGCCATCAAAAAAAAATAACTTTAGTTGTGCTTCTTATCTAAAAAAAGATAAAACACAGCAAAACAAAACAAAATTAACTAGTTTATAAGACTTAACTATAAATTAAGTAGTCTCCTTGACTGTAATGGATGTAATGGACTAACTTGGTCTTGGGAAGTTAAATAACATTCAAAAAAATTACATTGAATTTTTTAAATTATTATGGCTTCAGTGTAGCCATCCAGATGTCAAAAAATTTAAAATCTCTCTTGAAAAAAAATTGTATTGTTTAAAACCATCGAACCACTGGACTAAATAGCCTTAAAGTTTAAATATCATTTTTTTATTTTAAATACAAAATAGTTATCTAGCGAGTGTTTATATGGAAACTATTTTTAGTTAAAAAAAAATAACTATAATTTAAACTAAATGTGCATAATTATTTAAAAATCATTAGAAGAAAGTTTCACATTTCCTTACTGCTCAGATTTTCAAAAGTATAAAACTTGCAAAGAGCCGTGGTCAATTACTTTTCCCAATTGAAGTAAGTGTGGATAACATTTATACCCTGGTTTACACCCAGGATATAAATGTTAAATATTAACATTTATATGCACTATATATACATAATAGATACACAAAAATCTTTAGATATGATAAAAAACATTTGATAATGGTAGCTTTAATGCAACTTTACTTTTTTAATTTTATTATTAACCTTTCATTTTTACAGAAGAGCCTCATACTTCAGCACACCCTGTACACGTGATTTTTAGATTTTTGATAATTTTTGATAAGATATTCGAAATTTGCATTGTCAATATAGTGGATAGAATTTTTTAAAAAGTTTGTATCTTTTTTCTCTTTGTAGTTATTAATTTTGATCACTTTTTCATGTTTCTGGCCCACTGTGAAGTGACTTGAAACCAATTTTTAGCCTGCTCTAGCACCTATCTTTTGATACCAAGTTATATGCATTTAGATAAAAAAACAACAAATTTATGAAAATTTTATGTAGAAGGTTATTGTCGGAAGTGCCAGTATATAATTCTAAGGTTAATTGCTGGCAAGATTTTCAAAAATATCAAGTTAAAAATTTTTTGTACTCTAATGTTCACACAGCTCAGTGTATATATTAAACAATTGAAAATTAACAAAAGAAATTTTATATTTTATTTCAAATAACAATCTTAATATAAATAGCGCAGTGAATATTATTACTAGTGGGCATAGTTACGCCTATTGTTTAATATTAGTTACAGTTCTGTATTCTGTAAAATACACTATTTCTTAGTTTTTAAGTAGTTTCTAGACTTATCTCAACCAAGTGCTTTCTTAAAGATGTAGTGACCTTTCATGGTACGAGTTCAAAATGTTTAAGTAGACATTAAGTAGATGTTTAGTAGTTTAAAATTATAGGTAATATAAAATCTTTTTAAAATTTTATAAGTAATTAATTTATTGTAATCTTTTTTTAAATTGTACTTTTAAATTTAAAGCTTCGTGTTATAGATGTTAATATTGAAAATATAGATTACTATAAATCTTACTAAGAAATATAGTAATCTATATTTTTAATTATAGTAATCTATACTTTCAATAGAAATATTAGATGGTGTCTAGCGTTAAAAGATATTTATGGGTAGTTCATGCTTTCGCATGCTTTTAATAATTGGGATAAAAGACATGACAACATCTTTACATATGAATATATATGAATCTTTTTAAATTTTTTATTTACCCAATTCAAGTTATTAATGTTTATAGTATGCATATATGTTTATATTATGCTCAAAGTTAATAAGTTTTTGATAAATACGTGTATGTGGTCATATAATTTAAATAGTTGTTTTATAAATGTGTTTATATAAATGTGTTTTTATAATAGTATGAAATGTATCTAATCTAATGTGTAAATGATTGTTAAATGAGGTGTTTTTATACATTATATAACATTAAAAAAATATATTGTGTTTTATAGTTAGTATATATGTTTATATAATATTATTTCCATGATTTTAAAGTAGTGTGACTTGGCAAACGTGTAGAGCAAGATTTGTCAACCTTACCAGTCAAGCAGTGTTACTACTACTTTAGGTCTAAGTGTTGTCTAGCCTTCAATATAACTATTCTGAAAATACATAATATTATCTTTGATAATTTTTTGCGTAATGTTGTTACCTTTGGCTTCTCTTTATGTTGGTGTCTGTTGTTAAAAATGATCAATAATTAGTTTCATTACTGGAACTCACTGCTTTTATTTATTTACTAAAAGTCATTCGAGTCATTTTTTCATAAATACATCTTGTTTATCATAAAATAACTATATTTAACAACTACTAATCTGGTATCACAACAGCTTATCTCTATCAGGTACATTGATTTTCAATTCATATATTTGATGTTTTTCTTTGTATTTACTTATTTGTTACATTTTTTAACTTCAGATTTATCATATGATGTATTTATGTGATATAGAAAAACAAATCATTGTAAATTTTTATGAATTTTTTTTTAAATATCTACTAATAATAAGTCTCATCAACATTTAAAGTTCAATGTTGCATATATCATTTTTATGTAATTTCTAGGCTTTTCTAAATGCTTTTTTTATTCAAGTGGTTTTACAAGCAAGGTTTGCAAGCAAAT